TAAGGGAAAGGACCCAATGGTGGGACGGACCCTAATGTGGGACAGTGCTCGTTTGGCTCGATATGAATACTTTGACAGTGACAGCTGACTGTCATCGATTCGTCTCGTCAAAATCTTTATTCCTATGTGAAATCGATGGTGTGCACACGTGTTTTGAGCTCTCTCCAATAGCGAATAGAAAAAGGTGTTCTCAACATATAAATCGACTTCCAGTGTTAAGTGCTATTTTACACAGTGAATTTAATCATCGTCACCGGTAAGTGTGTGCATTTTTTTCCTTGTTCCTTTATCTTTTAATCGTGCCAAAAAAGTTTGGATCTATCGAACACGCGGTGGCTGGCACGACGCTATGATGTGTACAGTGGCTTGGACCTTATGTTGGGACACATTTTGTCGCCTATGTTGGGACACGTCAAAGTCAACATTTCTGATCTGGAGAACGCATTTTCTATACATTTCATTGCTTTTTATCGCAGAATATTGATAATTTATCGTAATATAATTATTTTTTACTTAATTTGTTTTTAATTTTTATGGTTTTTTTGTGTTTTTTTTGCATTTTTTAAGTGAATATGTCGAAAAAAGCAGAAAACATTGATTTGGATGCATTGTTGGAGGCGATTAAAGAGGTTAAGATCAATGGAAAGTCAATTCGATCCGTCGCCAGTCAATACAACATTCCAAAATCAAACTTGTCTCGATATATCAGCAATCTTACTGCGAATAATGTAGACTTTGCCACTGCTGATGCCAATGATATCAAGAATATGATCGCTCCAATGGTTACATATGGTCCCAAAACGGTTGGCTGAATTTATATATTCTCACATTTTAGATAAAAACTAATAATATAACATATTTTTTTCAGTATTTCACCGCCGAACAAGAAATGGAGCTCATGAAATATGTCTTATTTGCAAGTAATATTCATTATGGTCTCAGCATTGTCGAATTGAAGACATTGGCTTATCAATATGCCAAAAAGATTGGAATTGAATATCCAGCCGAATGGGATACCAATGGCCACGCAGGCAAGCATTGGTATTATTTGTTTATGAAGCGCCATCCGAATTTATCACTGCGTAAGCCTCAACAAGTCAGTGCAAATCGTTCCAAAGCATTCAACAAAGAAAATGTTGATGGTTTTTACAAAAACCTCTCCGATGTGTTGGCAGCAAACGAGTACGAGCCCCACCGAATTTGGAACATGGATGAATGTGGCATGCCAACCGTTCCGACTAAAGCTGTGAAACAAATCGCCGAAAAAGGACAAAAACAGGTTGCCACCACAACATCGGCTGAAAGAGGCACCAATGTGTCATTGGCATTGGCTGCAAACGCATACGGTAATACAGTCCCTGCTTTTTTCATCTTCCCAAAAGCATACATGCGTGAAATCTACCTTACACACGCTGGTCATGGTGCGACTGGCGATGCGAATGGTAGCGGTTACATGACAAGCGACACTTTCGTTAAATGGATGAAGCATTTCATCGTTCATTCGGGTGCCAAGAAAGGTTCGCCGACTCTTTTGTTGCTGGATAATTTCACTGCTCATTTGTCAATCGAAGCGATTGATTTGGCATTGGCTCATGACATTACAATGGTTTCGTTCCCACCTCATTGCACGCACAAATTACAGCCATTAGATGCAACGGTATTCGGACCATTGAAAACTGCATTGGCGAAACAACATGATGCATGGCAGAAAAGTAACATCGGCGTTAAATTCGATATACACCACATCCCTCAAATCGCCGATATTTGCCTCGATATTGCCGCTACGCCAAGAAACATCAAGGCTGGTTTCGCTTCTTGCGGCATTTACCCTTTCAATCCGGATAATTTCTCGGAAAGTGACTTTGTCGCGGCAAATCCAACCGACGAAATGCCAAGCACAAGCATTGAACAAAACGATTTCGAACGTCGTATTGTAGTTTTGTCTGCCGACGATATCGAACCTGGGGCGCATGAGGAGGTGGCCACATCGGAGTCTTCGTTTGCAACAAGCAGCACTTCATCTAGTGCTATCACACCCGCTGTTCTTCGACAAGCGTTGAATGCAGTTGGTCCGTTGAATTTGGGTACCCCAGCCAAAAAATCGAACCGTGGACGCAAACCAATGAAGGCGGCTATATTAACATCGCCTGAAGTCGTCGCTGATTTGCGCGAAAAAGCTGACGCCAAGCGTAAAAAGATCGAACAACAGAAGGAAAAAGGGACAAAGAAAGGACCACCAGCGAAGAAAAACAAACCATCTGCACGACCAACTCGGCAAGCTAAACGTGCTGCTCGTCCAACCCGTGACGTTGAATTCTGTATTCTATGCTTCGATGATATGCCAGAAAGGATGACCGCGCAAAATACGGCCAAATGCATCGAATGCCAACGTGAAGTTCATCTCAGATGTGTCTATGCTTCTCCCAACACATTCAAGTGTCCAAACTGCGAATCTGATGGTGAATAATCGCCTAAAACGTTTGAAAATCCTTTAATCATTCTTATTTTGTTCATTTATAGCCATTTGTAAGCATTCCGCATCATAAATGTCACTTATAAACTGAATAAAGAAGTGTCCCAACATAGGGGTCAAATTTCAATTTTCCAAAAAAAGAGATTTTTTTCAACATACTGAATTTTTTTCATCGAAATATCAAATCCCTCATTGGGACTGACAAAATGAAAGCTCGGGAGATATATTAAACGTAGAAAACTTAAAATATGAAAAAAAAAATATTTTTAGCCGAGTTATGGGCCTCGGCCACATCGTGTCCCACCATTGGGTCCTTTCCCTTATCAATACTGTGACGTCACTAAATTCCACGATTTTTCGCGTTTTCCGCGAAACTGATAAGAGATAGCGGTTTGGTGTCTTCGGCAATGTTGTAGTACTCGTTGCTCTCTATAACTTTGCTCCAGACTGTTATCACTTATCTCCTATCAGTTGAGCACAAATCTAAACACAGCGCTATGACACTTTTCTTTTTCTTATCATTCCGGTAAACTGATATGAGATAAGTGATAACAATCCGAGGCAAAGTTGTAGAGGGCGACGAGTACTACAACATTGCCAAAGACACCGAACCGCTATCTCTTATCAGTATTGCGAAATTAGCCTTCCAGTTATCATATTATTAACAGCGATGTTAATAAATGTCATCAGATATGTTAATAATTATTAACATGGATGTTAATCAAATATTATCATGAAAATCATAATAATATAGTATGATCATACTATCGGTATTAACATCGCATGTTAATAATATATTAGTATGATAATACCGGTATTAACTGTTATTAACTAGTAAGTAATAGCGATATTAACAGGCGATGTTAATAACGTATCAGTTGTTAATACTGCCTAGTTAATAATATAGTATTAATAATAATTAATAATATATTATTAGCTGTGCAGCTATAGATTGATTTGATCTCTTTTTTCATCGATCTGTGTTATTTCTCAGGTCACAAGAATGTTGCTGAACTTCTCATCCAAAGAGGAGCCATTGTTGATAAAAAAAATAATCTCCAATCGACACCCCTTCATTATGCCGCTTCCAATGGTAATTTTGAATATTAATTTTCATTGATTTGATCTCTTTTTTCATCGATCTGTGTTATTTCTCAGGTCAAAAGAG